TTAGAGATGATGGCTGCCAACAATTATTAGTTGCCCTCTACAGGGATCAATCAGCCAATGGTAGCAGGGATATATGAAGTAGATGTGGTTACTGCATTGGCTACACAGGTTGGTACATTGACAAAGAAGATTGATGCTTTAGGGGTGCAGCCTATTCAGAGTGTGGTAGTTGTGTGTGAATTGTGTGCTGGAAACCATCCGAGCAATCAATGTGCAATTAGTTCAGAGTCGGTACAATATATTGGTAAATTCAACAGGCAGCAATATGACAATAATTCTAACAATTATAACCCTGGTATGAGGACTAATTCAAGCTTTTCTTGGAACAATAATCAATCCCAAACCTCTGCTCCAAGACAACCATACCCACCAGTCTTTCAGAATCAAGCTCTACCACAACAAGAAAATAAGTCAAATTTGGAGGAGCTCCTTTATAGGTACATAGCACAAAATAAGACAAGGATGAATAGTCTAGATGTATCAATCCAAACCTGGAAAACCAAATGGGTCAGCTCACTAAAGCCATTAACAACCGACCTCGAGGCACTCTACCTAGTGATACGGAGATCAATCCTACAAGGGAAGATAAGGAGCATTGCAATGCTATTACATTATGAAGCAAAAAAGAGTTACCTAAGATTTTTGGGGGAACTCCAAAACAATCACATGGAGAGAATAATGTGGGTAAAAAAATAAAAGATAGAAAGGCCGTCGATTATTAAAAGAAAGAAGAGGCACCAGTTGCATGTTCTCATGGTGGTAATCCAAGTCCTACGGTGTCTCCCATGCCATTTCCACATTTGCAGAAACAAAAGTTGGATAAATAGTTCTCCAAATTTTTGGAAGTGTTCAAGAAGCTCCAAATTAATATCCCTTTCGTAGATGCATTGAAGCAGATGCCTAGTTACGTGAAATTTATGAAGGAATTGAACGAAGAAGAGAAAACTAGGTGATTTAGAGACAGTAGCACTTATGGAGGAGTGTAGTGCTATTCTTCAAAAGAAGCTACCACCAATGCTCAAAGATCTGGGTAGCTTTACAATTCCATGCACAATAGGCCGCTAGTTTTTTGGGAAAACATTATGTGATTTGGGAGCTAGTATTAATTTAATGTTGCTCTCAATTTATCATAAATTGGGTTTGAAGGAAGCAAAGGCTACTAATCTTACATTGCAAATTCCGGATAGATCACTCACTTATCCAAAGGGCATAGTTGAGGACATTTTAGTTAAAGTGGATAAGTTCATTTTTCCAGCTAATTTCGTAGTCTTAGATTGTGAGGGAGATAGGGAAATACATATTATTCTTGGGCGACAATTCTTAGCAATGTGAAGAACACTTATCGATGTACAGAAAGGTGGGCTAACATTAAATTTCTAATCAAGAGGTTACATTCAATGTATTTTCAGCTATGAAATTTTCAAAGGAAGCGGAAGAATGTTTTCGAGTTGATTTGGTTGAAAAGACAGTGAATGGGGTATTCGTAGGAAGTTGTATTGCAGATCCTCTTGAGAACGCCAAGCAATATAAAGAGGAAGTGTTCCTACATGGGGTAGTTGAAGTTGAGGAAGCTAACTCGAAAAGAACATTCAAGAAGAATGGACAGAGACTGGATCAATATTTGGGAGGCGACATTGATCATGAAAAGACCTCAATTACGCTTGACAACCCGGGATGAAACAGAAAGTAGTCAGGCTGAAGACTATAAAACAAGCGCTATTTGGGAGGCAACCCAAAATTTAGATTTTAATTTTTAATTCATGTTTATGTTAATTTAGATTTTTTTTTAGGAGTAATTATGATATTAGATTATTAGTTCATTTTAATTAGTATGTCAATTACTTGCAGGTCCCAAGGATTGAACAATAAGGTTGGAGCTTGCTTAAGCTCACACAAGGTGCTTAGACTAGAAGCCCAACGCCTAAGCACTCCAAAACAGCGCCTAAGCGCTGATTTTCTGTTTGGACAGTGCTGATTTTCTGTTTGGACAGCACCTAAGTCCTTCAAAACAGTGCCTAAGCGCTGATTTTCTGTTTGGGCAGCGCCCCAGTGCTATAGACCAGTGCCTAGGCGCCTACCTACTGCCCCAAATCACTCCCAAAATATATTTTCAGCATTATATTTGACCTAGACAATGCTAAAAGTAGAAAATCAGCATTAAAAACAAGACTTTAGCGCCACACTCAAGGACAAGGAGCTCACCACATCAACTCCTATTCTTCCAAAATTTCAATGTTTTAAAAATCTATTCACCCCAACTCTTATTCACCTTTAATTCCATTGAATAACCTTGGATTTCCTGATCTCTATTACTCAACAATCTTACAACCCAAGTGGCATCAATGAGTATCAACTAGCACCAAGGATTTCTCCATTCTCCATGGGTAAAGATTAAGCTTTTCAATGTAAGTTTCCTAGTCTACCTATGTTTCCCGAACACACTCCAAACTTAGTGGACATCGAGGATGCTAATGATGATGTCAACTAGCGAAGTCTCAAGGAAGTCCTCTGTCTTAATTTTTCCTACTTTATACATTGAGGACAATATTTTATTTAAGTTTGGAGGTGTTTTCTTGTTTGCATTTTCATTATTGGCTAATCATTTCGATAGCATGTTTTGCACTTTAAATAACATATTTTAGTACGACTTGAGTAATGGGCTTATTGAATTTGATTATGGTCAATGATGAATGGGATTAATTGTCAATTTAAGGGAAATTGATGAACATGTTGAGTCTGTAGTTAGACATACTAGTTGGTTTTACACTTTTTGTGATATTTCATTCATGAGCACATATCCATTTGTTTGGTTAGTTATTATTTAGAGAATTTATTTGGTTAAATGCTTGTGGGACATATTATTGAAACTTTAGAAAACTTATTTAAACATCATTCAAAGCAAATTGAGGTATTTGTATAAGTTTGGGGGAAATATTGGTTATGATTGGTTAGTTTATAAAAAAATAATAGTATTAAAAAAAGAGTTTTTGGAAAATTATTTTTATTTGATCCTTCATGAGTTGGAAGAAAAAAATATGAAAACAAGAAACAAGAAAGGGTCATGTGGTGAGTAGAGATGGAGCATAAAACGCACTCATTCATAAACACGTGTTAAGAATGAGATGGAGCGTAAAATGCACTCGTTCAAGAAAAGGCGAGATGGAACACAAAACGCACTCGCTCAATAGGAGGTGAGATGGAGATAAAATGCACTCACCAAACGAATGGAAAAGAGAAATAAAAAAAAAAAAGGAGGAAAAAAAATATTTGGACCTTCTAGTTATATGGTTGCCTTAATAAGCGGAGGTTGATGTGAAACATAAGTTCATAGAGTTGATATTGAGTACCTCCTATGAAGCATTTGATTACGTAAATGTATTCGGGTGATGACTAGCTTGAATAGTTTAGATATGTTCATGTATTTAAAGGGTCAGGAACGAAGATAAAAGTAAGGAGTGTGATGAATTGATAGACTTTGTATTGTTTTGATATTTCCCGTGAATTATAATTTGTAGTAACTTTTGGGACCATTATTCAAATTCATATTAATCAATTGTTTAAGTAGTTGGTTGTTATGGTTAATTTTTATAGTTTTTGTTCTTAGTATTTTGCTTGAGGACAAGCAAAGATTAAAGTTTGGAGGTATTTGATGAATGGGTTTTAAACCTACAAATTGAGTACTTTCGGCTAGATGAAATTACAAGTTTTCAAGTATTTTATGTTCCTTTTTATTTTTTTTTGTGTTTTAATATTATTTTGTAGGAATCATCATTTGGAATGAAGCATGGTGATTTGGAAGGAAACAAGGTCAATTGAGAGCCTAAGTGTTGGATTTTTGAAGACTAAGCAACAAGGGCAGCTCTTGGCTAAAAAGGGAATCAGTGCAGCTGCACTAGGACCAGCGCATAGGCGCTTGAAGGGCAGAAATTCAGCACCCCTGCGCTGGTTTTAAGAGCCAAGGTGCCTATTTTAATGTGGACGCGAATTCTAACTTGTTTTTGACCCAAAATTGTACTCTAATGCTACATATATGCTAGGGTTTGAGTTGGAAAGGAGATACTAATTTTGGGGGCTGATGACATTGGAAAAACCAAGGAATTGAAATAAAATTGAAGACAATTATCGAAAGAAAGCGACACGAAGAAGATTGGACCTGAAGGCTGGAGAGGAATTGAAGATTGCAACTAAGTTTTCGTTCTTTTCTCTTACTTTTACTTCTTGATTTTCTGAGATATTGTTTAATTTTAAGAATGATTTTTTTCAATTATGTTATGAACTAAATTTGTATTAAGATTGTAACGAAACCTAATGTTTAGTTAAATTGATCTACTCTCGTTTCTAGTTCTATTGATCGTACTTGAGTTGTTTGTCATATTTTGTGCTTAATATATGATTGTGTGGCCAACAATTAATTTGATAACCTAGATGAAATTGGAAGATGAATTCTAGGTTTAGATCTAAATATGATGACATGCGTCTAGTTAATTCTTCTTCAGATTGAATTGTTGGGTTTGTGTATAGGATAGGAATATACTTACATGTCGTGTGTAACTTTTATGAGAGTTTTAACTGAATGCATCTATTCTAATTTATTTTGCATAAGAATATAGTAATTTAGTTGGGAGAGATAATTTATCTAACTATCGGAAGATGTTTGATAAATAATTTTGAGTTCTCAATTACCAACTTATTTTGATTAATTAACTGGAAAGAGAGATAGAAAGATTTATACGAAGCATTAGGGGAAGTTGTAATCTTAACTTCTTTTATCTGGTAAATTCAACCCTTGATTATTAAGTTTAGGTTTATTTTTAAATTAGTGAGTTTTTAGTTCAATTCCAATTGTTTAAATAAAATTGAATTGATACAAAATTAGTACTTGAAATTTATTAGTAATAATTCTCCGTGGGAACGATACTCTACTTATCACTTTATTACTTGTTGATCATGTATACTTGCACGCAAATTGTCAATATCAAATTCAGACAGCAAGTTTTTGGCACCGTTGCTGAGGATTGAACTCGGGTCACCCGTGTGAGAGATGGGAATACTCACCACTATACTACAACAACAGAAAACGTAAATTGCCATTATCTTTGCCTAAGGTTGTTGGTGGATCTCCAAAACATTTACATGGAGATGATAGCGAGGGTAAAAAAATAAAAGATAGCAAGAATGTGGAATATAAAAAGAAAGTAGAAGATCTAATTGCATGTTTTAATGGAGGTAATCCAAGACCTATTGTGCCTCTCGTGTCATTTTTGCAATGTTTGCAAAAACATAAGTGGGATAAGCAGTTCTCTAAATTCGTGGAAGTGTTCAAGAAACTCCAAATAAATATCCCTTTCGCAGAAGCAGTAGAGAAAATGCCTAACTATGTGAAATTTTTGAAGAAAATCTTGTCAAAGAAGAGAAAATTAGGCGATTTTGAGACAGTTGCACTTACGGAGGAGTGCAGTGCGATTCTTCAAAAGAAGCTACCACCAAAGCTGAAAGATCTAGGTAGCTTTACAATTCCATGCACAATATGCAGTCAATTGTTTGGGAAAGCATTGTGTGACGTGGAAGCTAGTATCAACTTGATGTCACTCTTAATTTATCAAAAATTGGGGTTGAAGGAAGCAAGGCCTACTAATGTTACATTGCAGCTTGCGAATAGATCACTTATCTATCCAAGGGGCATAGTTGAGGACATTCTAGTTAAATTGGATAAGTTTATTTTTCCAGCTGATTTCATAGTCTTAGATTGTGAGAAAGATAGGGAAAACCTATTATTATTGGGCAACCATTCTTAGCAATGGGAAGAACACCTATCGATGTACAGAAAGGTGGGCTAACTATGCGAGTCCAAGATCAAGAGGTTGAATTCAATGTATTTTCAGCTATGAAATTTTCAAAGGAAGCGAAAGAATGTTTTCGGGTTGATTTGATTGAAAAGACAGTGAATGGGGTATTTGTAAGAAGTTGTATTTCAGATCCCATTAAGAACGCCAAACAATATAAAGAGGATGTGTTCCTACATGGATCAATCAAAGTTGAGGAAGCTAATACGAAAAGAACATTCAAGATGAACGGGCAGAGGCTGAAGCAATATTGGGGAGGCGACATTGATCGTGAAAAGACCTCAATTACCCTTGACGACCCAAGATGAAACAGGAAGTAGTTAGACTGAAGACTATAAAACAAGCACTATTTGGGAGGCAACCCAAAATTTAGCTTTTAATTTTTAATTCATGTTTATGTCAATTTAGTTTTTTTTTAAGAATTAATTATGATATTAGATTATTAGTTTATCTTAATTAGTATGCCAATTGTTTGCAGGTCCCAGGGATTGAACAAAAAGGGTGGAGCTTACTCAAGCTCACAGAAGGTGCCAAGACCAGAAGCCCAGCACCTAAGCACTCCAAAATAGTGCCTAAGCGCTGATTTTCTATTTGGAAAGCGCCCCAACGCTACAAACCAGAGCCTAGGCGCCTGCTTGCTGCCCTAAATCACTTCCAAAATAGATTTTTAGCATTATATTCGGCTTGGACAGAGCTAAAACCAGAAAATCAACATTAAAAACAAAACTTTAGTGCAACACTCAGGGACAAGGAGCTTACCACATCAACTCCTATTCTTCCAAAACTTCAAGGCTTTAAAAATCTATTCACCCCAACTCTTATTCACCTATAATTCCATTGAATAACCTTGGATTTCCCAATCTCGTTTACTTAACAATCTTGCAACTCAGGTGGCATCAATGAGTATTAACTAGCACCAAGGATTCCTCCATTCTCCATGGGTAAAGATTAAGCTTTGCAACATAAGTTTCCTAGTCTACCTATGTTTCCCGAATACACTCCCGACTCAGTGGACAACAAGCACACTGACATGATGCCAACTAGCGAAGTCTCAAGGAAGTCCTATGTCATAATTTTTCCTACTTTATACATTGAGGACAATGGTGGTTTTTCATTTGGGGGTGTTTTCTTGTTTGCATTTTCATTATTAGATATGCATTTAGATAGCACGTTTTGCACTTTAAATAACATGTTTTAGTATGACTTTAGCAATGGGTTTATTGAATTTGATTATAGCCAATGATGAATGAGATTAATTGTCAATTTAAGGGAACTGATGAACATGTTGAGTCTGTAGTTTGATATACTAGTTGGTTTTACACTGTTTGTGAGCTTTCATTTATGAGCACATATCCATTTGTTTGGTTAGTTATTATTTAGAGAATTTATTTGGTTAAATGCTTGTGGGAGATATCATTGAAACTTTAGAAAACTTATCTAAGTATCATTCAAAGCAAATTGAGGTATTCATATAAGTTTGGGGAAAAAATATTGGTTATGATGAGTTAGTATATAAAAATAATAATAGTATAAAAAAAGATTTTTTTAGAAAATTATTTTTATTTGATCTTTCGTGAGTTAGAAGAAAAAAATAGAAAAACAAGAAACAAGAAAGAGGCATGTGGTGAGTAGAGATGGAGCGTAAAACACACTCACTGATAAACATATGCTAAAAATGAGATGGAGTGTAAAACACACTCGTTCAAGAAAAGGCGAGAAGAAGCATAAAACGCACTCGCTCAATAGGAGGTGAGATGGAGCATAAAATGCATTTACTGAATGAATGAAAAAGAAGAAAAAAAATAGAGAGAGATGAAATGATCTTTGTACCATCTAGTTATATGTTTTGCCTTAATTAGCATAGGTTGGCGTGAAATGTAAGTTCATAGAGTTGATATTGAGTATCTCCTATGAAGTAGTTGATTACGTAAATGTATTTGTGTAATGACTAGCTTGTAAAACACGAGTAAAATTGAACTTTTTCTGAAAAATGGTAAAACAGTAATTTGCCTTAAAATACGTATTTCTATAGAGCTTGGATGATGTAACGGACATCACCGTTGGATTTGTACCGCGAAATTGAGTTGTCCAATAAATTTTTGTCGAATTCTGAGATAGTCAAAATTTTCACATTTTACGAGACAACTGGGTGACGAATGATCTCACAAAGGTCCCCAAAAATAGAAATTTTAAAATTTGTTTATAATTGAATTTAAGTTCAAATAAAATTAATTTGGACTTAAACTGAGATGAAAAATTAATCATTTCGGGGCGAAAACGGACCCGGACAAACGGGGGCGTGTGGTGCGCGTGGACCAAGCTTTAAAATTATAAATAGGGAACAAATATCTGATTTTCTTCAGAATTCTTCAGCTAAAACCAGTGTGTTTAACATATGAGAGGAAGAGAGAAGAAAAGTGAGAAATCCAACCTTTCTCCCTACAATTTCCGAAGTTCCGTCAGTTGGAATTCTTCGGGCCAAGTACGCAACCACACCAAGAACAAAGGATTTCACCAAAGATCCAAAGAGGGGATTTTGGGAAATCAAGACTTGGAGGTTGGTGTTGGTGTTCTTGAAGGTTCTATCCTTCGTTTTATGCTCCAAGAGATAGGGTTCCTTCCTACTTGGGTTTATTTTCATCCTATGATGTTCATATGGAAGGGGGTAGGTATGTAGAATGTGTATACCACTTGTATATGGTTATGGAAATGAGGAAATAGGTGTAGAATTAGTTTGATTCAAGTTCTACTTTGAATTTGATATGTAGAATTACTTGTGTAATTTCTTGGTGATGGAAATTATGTGTGCTTTAATATGTAGTAAAGTGAGTGTGTTTAACTCAAAAATCAGTGTGTGTGTGTGGGTGTGTTTAACTTCTAGGTTGAATTTTATATGTGGAAGTACTTGTGTAATTTCGTAGTGATAGAAATTATGTGTGTTTTAATATGTAGTAAAGTGAGTGTGTATTCAACTTCTACCTTGATTTTGATATGTGGGAGTTACTTGTGTAATCCCTTGAAAAATTGGTTTATGTGGGCATGTTATATGTTTATATTATGCCTTGTGATTAAATGTGATTGGCTTGAAATTGTGAAATGTCATACTTGAGCCTTGTGTTGGGAATAAATGTTGATACATGCTAGTTGATGTATTGACATGATAATGAATTTTGGTGATTATATGCATGTGATATAAATTGTCATGGAACATGTATACATGTGGTTGAATTGCTCATTTGGCATCATTGCATAATGGGCATGGTGTTGGCATCACATTCATGGGCTTTATGCATGAGTGTGGGTGTGTGGATGCATGGTTTAATCAAACACCATACTTAGTGCTTGATGGATGGGCTCGGGAAAGTTGGATTGAAGAACAGACTGAGTCGCACGGTTACATGCATGGAAAACTTGTGTTGGGTATAGCAAGAAGGGCAAGATTCTCCCTCGGGTGCAAAACCTGGCTACTTGATTCACACACTCCCCTGAGGTGAAATTCTAGAAAAGTGTGATGATGTACGCAACCAGCGGTTGTGATACCAAGATTCGTTGCCCAACAAAGACACAAGATTTTGTTTTATAAAACACTCATTCAATGGGTAACATCCATCAATGATTTGGTTTTATAAAAGCATAACTTTTATTTCAAACAATCATTGGATGAATTTTCATCAAATGACGGTTTCATTGCACAAGTGCATTGCATTGTGTGGTGGGAGTTGGTGAGGACTCGGGTTAACGTGCATGAGTGAGTCTCATCTCATTTCATGACATTACCTAAAATTTCTATCATTGGGTGTATATTCTTGATTGGAATGTTTGAATTATTGATTGGTTGCATTGTGAACATTTCAGGGCCCCAGTGATGAAGAAAGGCTGACTTGTGGCTTTTAGTTCTTTTTTTGTAAAACTTTTGCAAAGTTAGTTTTTGGGCATGCAATGTATGTAAAAGAATTATAATTTTGAATTTGTATTAACTATGCTTAATGCATAAATTCATGATGTGGGAATACGTATTGACGTATATTGGACCTCGGATGGGTCATGTGATTAAATGTTATCATAAGAATATGGATATATGGACCCGGTGTAGTCAATGTTGTATATTAGACCTCAGATGGGTCATGTGATTGTATAGTGCACAGGTTGTGTTTTGGGTAGTGCTCATCGTACAAAGGAGACTCTGCTCGAATTTTGTTAAATTAAGGACCCTGGTTTTTGGGGTGTCA